AGTTCTCGTAAATTTTGTTCTTGTTAATTGCCATTCTAGATCGACATTTATTATATACGATCTCCATTTGCACAGAGGTTTGGTACTAAGATCTTGCAAAACCAATTCCATCCACAGATAAAGTCCTGAAGAAAGTAACATGTAAGTTTACAATGAGTCATACTTCAACTATAGATAACAAAGCAATTTGATTTTAAGGTAGAGGCAGGTAACCAGAAGGTGTGTTCGTCCCTTTTATTAACTTTATTTTGATACAAGTTTTATTAATTATTGCCCCTACAAAATGTTGGTATGTATTTTTGGTCCCTTCTTTCTTTTCTCCTTTTTTTTTTCTGGATCCCCAACGCATTTGGGCTTAGATTTGGATATAGTTTTTCATTGTATCTCAATTCCAAAGATGATAACAGTTTTTTCCATATCAAGTCATCTTTTTTTGGTTGTCTATTGACTAAAACTACCCATAATTAAATGGGGCCAAATTTTATTTTCAACCCAACCAACACATATATACCACCACATCCACAATCAATTGTTCTTCTTCAACTAAAGCCTTTACTACTCAATTTTGAAATTCATGTAGATTATCAAGCTACATTCATGACTAGATAAGGATGACGAAAGCCCACAGAAAGAAAAAGAGGGGGAAAAAAAAAGGAGTAAAAAATAAGAAAGTAATGGGTGGAGGTCTCATTGAAGGAGCAATGCCACACAGTAACATTTGTCAAAGGTTGTTAAGAGTAAAGCCAAAGAAAAACGAAATTGTTCTGCATGTTATTAGCTTAGATTTCAGCCAAGTAAGATTACACTCATCGCTAATCTACAGGTTGACGGACATCACAAAGACACCCAAAATCTCCTTTAAATTCTGCCCCTGAAGCTCCCATTTTCATCACCAAACCATTTGCTACTTCTTTCTGATCATAAGCAAAGAGTTTCTCTTCTCTTCTGTTTTTTTTTCTCAGCAAGGAAAAAATGGCTTCTTCTTCAGTGAATTTCTCTGATGAACAAGTTGCTGTGCTGGAGGCATTTTATGCCCACTGCCAATCCCCCTCTGCTTCTCAGAGGCAACAGATCAAGCTGGGCAATGGCATGCTGTTCAATGGTGTGGATGATGCTCAGATTCATGCTTGGTTTAGAATCCGCAGGTTATATATATATTCGTTCATTTATTGAGTGGGGCATCGTGTATAAACCGAAAGCTGTATGCCACTGATGAGATTTGATCATTTCAGTGTGTGTGAAATAGACACGCATGCATTTTTTTTCCCCTTTCGTCATGACCTCATTTTTATCTTTTTATTAAAAAAAAATTGGGTCATGAATTGGATTTTTTTTTGGGACGCAGGAACTGTGACATGATGACAAGGGAGGTTCTGATTGCTAACAAGAATATGCTGATGGAGGAGAACGTGAGGCTGAAGCAGGACGTGGCGGAGCTGATGCATGAGAACGACGTCTTACGTCGTAACCGCTCTAAGATCCATGCACGCAGGAACTGAGCGCTCTCTCTTGCTGGAGAGAGAAGATGTGTTGTTCAAGACATTAATCTCTGATGATTTATGTCTTGCTCTTTGTTGTTGTTGTTTGAGCCAGTTGTTGAGTCAGTTCAGTTGAGTCAGGTGTTGTTGGTGTCGTAACCCTTTGGGTTTTCGATTTCTGGAATAAGGATCGATGTTTGAGACGATTTTGTGTAATCGGATCGAGCATTCATATATCCATTGTCTGTCATGTATTGAGTCAAATAGGGTCTGTTGTAATGGTTTTCACCTGGACTTTCATTTGAAAATCATCTATGAGTATTTTGTGTATTTTTGTTTTTATTAGCCTTCTTAATTAGCCATATCTTCATAGAAGAAAGTCTTCTTTTTCCTTAATTAGCCATATCTTCATATCTCGGAGAGAGAAAAAATTGGGGCTAGAATCTTGAAGATTTTAAAGTTTATAATTGAAAAATCTTCCAATCAAAATAAAGGATTTGGTATTGGTAAATCCAAAATCTTAAAATATGCTAAACAAATGATAGAAAATAAATATGCAACTTGACTATATAGGTCAACTTCCTCACGAGCATAGCATGACACTTCAAGGCAAAATTAAATGAAACCGAATTTCTAAATGAACCAAACTTGATAATATAGATAGTTAGTGCATGATCAATGACTATCATTGAGATGGATTGATCTTCTCTATTAATGATGTAAAGTTAGGAGGGGAAGAATTTATTGTGTAAACGTTTGATTGAAATTCAGATGACACAATCTCTCTGTCCCATAATTATTGTCCAGTTTGAGTTTTTATTTTTAGTTCAAATTGTACTAAAAGTGAAATCTCAAAGTGGACAATAATTTTGGGATAGAGAGAATATTATAAAATATTCAAAATTGATGCACTTTTTTTAACACACTCAAATGTGATATAGTTTTTTTTTCCCCTTAAACATAAAAGGGCAATAAAATTGGAAGTGGAAAGAGGGCTGAATCCTTAAGGAAACCCAGATTTTTGGTTATTTAGCTTTCACATCCTTTCTGCATCTACGCCATTGATCAATGTAGAAGCAATTACCTCTTGTTTACTTCTTCATCTATTTGCTTATATTTTTAAATATTAACCTTGAGTCGCCTGAAATTATGGCCAATAATGAAACTCGTGAGACCCTTTTTATTTTGGCAAACAAAAATCAGTCAAATCAAATTCATCCAAAGAAATCCTCAATTAATGATCTCATAGAGAAAATTGACAATATACAAATACAATAATAGTTATACACGTTCAAGGAGAAGAAAAGTCTGGTTAAATTAGTAAGTGTAAAAAGAAAGAATCAAATTAAAACTTGAAAAGAATACGACATTCAATCGAACAACTTACTCGATTCGAAGTATAAAAATGTCATGAACAAAACAAACCAATGAGTGAGCAAAAGAGACGATTAATTCTTTTGAATTATTGAAAGCCCCTCAATAATTCAAATCCCTAGTTCTCAAAAAAGATCGGCAAATACCAACGATTTATATTATAGAAGACCCCATTTGAAATTCTGCCGGCCCCTGGCCCTGGATCTCTCTTGTTAGTTTAATATTAGAGTTTGAAGTAAATTGGAAGATATAAAAGAGAGATTTTAGGGAATGTATTTCATATTTACAAACTTCATCTTTTTCCAATTCTTTGATAATTAGTTATAATTTACCAATTTTAGAATACTCCAACGTCAAATTTTTTATGTCCGTATCTACGTTGATTTAGTAGTTACTTAAAACCAGCTGGAAAAACTGAATAATAACCGTATATTTTTTTTTATTTTATTTCTTTTTATGGTGAAAAATGAACAAACCTATTTGTCATTGAAAGAATAACCTAGAGTTTCTCTCTTGGTTTTCTTTTAGTGGATTATACTAGATGTTAAACCCGTACGATGCACGGGATTATCTAAACACAATATTGTAAAATCATTGAAAAAATAAAAATGTCATACAAATGATGTTAAGGAGTTGTGATGGTATAGATAATATGGCTAAAAATAAATTATAAGACGTATTTACAAATATCGAAATATAAATTTGTATGTAATGTCAAATTAAATATTGTGCAAATTGTGAAAGAGTTTCATCTTAATGGTGATGAAAAGTGGATGTCACATATGTTTTTAGTGGTATGGAAACAACTAAATAAATTAATATTATACTTAAAATTATATTAATTAAATTTATGAGAACTTTATTTATTATTACACAAAGTTCTTTTATTTTGAATCCATAAAATATCTTACGTGACACTCTAGGAATCATTAATCAGTTTCTCTCTCTGGTTTCTCTTTTATAATATATTATAGATAGATTATAGATAGATATCCTATGAAACACTCTAGGAATCAGTAACCAGTTTCTCTCTCTGGTTTCTCTTTTATAATATACTATAGATAGATAGATATAGATATAAATAGGTACTAGATGCTTGTCCCGGGCAAATGCCCGGGGGCGTCCCACCTAATAAATCGATATGTAAATAATCAAAATTGATTAGGAATGAATTTAGTTTTTGATGAAGATAATTGATTGACCAGAAATTAATTTTTTCGGAAGTCCTAAATAAATGGAGAAGGAAAATTTCATATACTGTCAAATTCAAAATTTGAATGAACGTGACCATCTGATCTCTTCGTTAATATTGTAAATATATTTTTTATTTTTAAAAGGAGGTGACACGTGTCAGAATGATTAATGCAATATGGTGCATTTGGAGCCAAAACATTTTAATAAGAAAATGCCACATCAGCATCCTGTTTTCTGCTTTAATGGGGTAAAAAGGGATAAATTGGATTTAATCGTTTACTTAATTAAATCGATCCTATAATGGTGGAAAAGAAAGCAGCATAAGTTTTAACTCTATTTTTCGAGATAAGTTGGACACAAATGGTGTTTATCTGCTGGCGTTTCGACTTTCAAGTTTTCACATCTTTTTCTGTATTTTAACCGGAATGTCAAAGGAAAAAAAATTCGCAATTGTCAAACTCCAGTATTACGGCATAATTTTTCGATGTTCGAATGAACTTTCAAGTGTTTCCAAAAAAAAACAAAAAAAAAAAAGAAAAACCTTTCAAGTCATTTTACACACCCGTGTTCTGCAAATAACTGTCTTCCGCGAACAAAATAAAAAATTAAGTGTTAGGATATTTATTTTCAATTTAGAGGATATTCTTCATTGTTAACTGCTCTTTTTTTTTTTTTTGGAATCACCTGGCAGGCATTTCCTCACTCGTGTCATTTTACCTTCTTTTAAAATGGTTGATTGGACTCCTCCGATTCAAAATTATGGCTTTATTTAAAACAAGAAAAACTTAACCACAGAGACATCAACTTCCCCGATTATAAGAGACGTGCTATCCAAAAATGACAAAATGGTTCATTTGGCATTCTGTATTTCCAGACCTAGAAAAATTACTAATATTCATCTTCCCCAATACATACCAATTTTTTTTTCATTTAAGTATAACCTTATTATAGGATGGAAGGAGTAAGCGAAAAAGCAAAACCAATTAGATTAGAAATCGAGCTAGTTTGCACTGGGGCAATATCATCAGCTAACAGTATAATGTTCGGGGTATTGTGGCATGCAGCATTGATGATGGAAATCAGCACTCAGGCAAAGAAGAGCTTATCAGACAATGTGAAGATTTTAAGAAAAGAACCAACAAAATGCTGGTAAGCAGAGCATCTTTTCTAAGGCAGTTGTTCACCTTGCCAATTAGGGTGCTGATACGCAACTTTAACATTCTACCATATGACTACTTGTACAAAACTAGTCCAGGCTCCAGGTTGATTTCCATTAACCAATTCTTGCTGCCACCCTGCCTAAAATTCATAGCTCTATTGCAAGTATTTTGTCACATCCATTGTTACTACATCAACTGCAAACCCCAAGCCTAGTTCATCAAGAAAATTTCTACAAGATTACTTTGATGCTGAAATCCTGAGTTATGGTTTGCCGTATGATGGTCCAGTTCCATCGACATCTTTGCTACCTAGCGATTTGTTCTTCTCTTCTTTGAGTTGAGCTAAGGTCTTGGGACCAGTAAACATGGTAGGATCCTCATTAGACATCCTTCTCCTTGAAGCTGTCTTACCTGAGATTTCAGAAACAGTGTGTCGCTTACCCTGTCTTCTTTCCCTTGTTTGCCTTTTGAACCTTCTGGAATCAGCGTGCATTTCCCTGCGATGCCGATAAGTACCACTCCCAAGAGGTTCCCTGTGATGCTGATGAGTATTGCTTCTAAGAGGTTCCCTATTAAGTCGGGCTTCAGCAGAAATTTCCACTTTCGATGCTAGTCTTCCACACAGCCTTCTATCCCCAAAAGAACTCTTCTCAGAAATTTGATCCATCAGCCGCGGAGAGTAAGGTCTGTCAAAGAAAATGTTAGAATGCTGATTGTCAGACATCCGTCGTCTTTTCAGAAAATCCCTTAGATCACTAGTAGACCTTTTACTTCGCATAGGGCGATCGAACAATCTTTCTCCGGCAGCCATAGGAGTTACCCAGGAACCATTACTGGTATCTTTGTCCAGACGGCTATAGTAATCTGGTAATCCTCGGTCCAGAGTAACTCTTAAGTCCGGACATGTAGGATCATACTCTAACATGCTTTGATAATTATATCCTAGATGTTGATCACTGTTTTCCCTCTCTTCCAAATCATGGTGTAATGAGTATTCGTCTTCATAAACTATGTCTTCTGCTCCATTATTGACAAGGACATCAAAGCCAGGAGATGATTCCCGCCAATCTTCGTGCGTAATATCATCATCAAGTTCGTTATCTGAGCTTTTATAAGGTGATTCCTCATGTCTCTGGACACGGCCCTCTGTCTGACTAGGGGAATTTGACCTGGTTGTGGCAGCTTCTTCAGATGGAGATTTAGAAATCTGTTGACAGGCACTTTGCTTGGCAAAATTATCAGAAACTGGTTGCTGGAGCTTCGGTTCAGGTTGCTGGAGCTTCTGCTCAGGTTGTGGGAGCTTCTGTTTAGGCGTGACTTCTGTTTCTGCTGAAATCTTGGATTTAGTTCCACATGAAGTAGTTACTGCAACGGCAGGCCTCAAATCACTTCCTTTAGGCATCTTCTTCTCCACAGGAGGTACATCAACAGCAGTAGAAGTTTGTTTTGACGATTTCAAAGGCGCACTTCCCTCTGGCCCATGCATAAAGTAACAACTCTCTCCTTTATTACAATATCCATTGTAGAAGTAGTAACAAGGAACGTTTGACTTGTTTACAGGCAAAGCAGATTGCTGCTTAGCAGCAGCAGATTCAGGACCTGTTTCAGCATGTGTATCCAAGGGCTGCCATCACAGAACAGGGATTAGTCTAGCAAGTAATGACAGGCGATAAGAAGTGCAAAATACTCAAACTAAAGGGCTGACCGACAACTAATTCCATATGAAATGACAAAAGCCAACCACCGATATTCGAAATATTGTGAAGTGATATCCTGAAAATAAACAACTAATCAACACGCTGCCTAAATGTGCTTTACAATTTACATACAAAAATCCTTTCCCTTCTCATATTTATTCACATCATTCTGCAAGATCGGTTCAGACAAAAAACTATTAAATGTTGGAGTGATGTCATCATTTGCAACTCATTTGTTCATGCCATATTTTGCTATAGTTCACGTCTTATCTTTTAGATACTGAGATAAAATTATCGGTTCAAATTTTGCAACCCCAATCAACTCCTCCCTTATCTGAGGGAGTAAAAGGAATATGTACAACAATAAGGCACAAGAATTTCTTACTGTAAGAATCAAACTGACGGACCACTTTTCTATGTTATGCATCAAAGTCTTTAACACGCAATATTAAAGCAAATGCAAAGCATGCATCTAAAAGAAAATTTTGGGGACTGCTTACAGGATGTCGAAAAGCACAAGTTGGGTTTAGGCAGCTGCCAGACAGCCAGTACCAGCAATCTCTTGGGTTAAGCCTAGCCATTTCATTGTGCCTGAATTCACACTCAATACCCTGAAAAACAAAGTCACCACAACACGAATTACATCAATAACAGCAACAAATTCTGCTAATATGCTTCCATACAACACTTGCCATGACTACAATCGTGCAATGAGAATCCCAACAACAGATGCATTTTTTTTCATGACAAATACAGCTGTTAGAAAAATGTGGTGGAAAAATTCATGTGAAAAAAAAAAAAAACTAGGAAATCAAAGTTGAAGATTGAGGAGTGATTCAAGAAACAAGAAAAAAGAAATCAATGAACCTGATACAATTGTGCACGTGAACATCATGAAAGTACTGTAATGATTCCTCAAAAGATTATTTGCCACCATTTATTATTATTGGTTTCCACATAGAGAACAAGCATTGTCACACTTTCTATGTTAAAACAGTATAAAAAAAATTACCAACAAAGGGACAAGCCAATCAGGTAGGAACGAGGAAACCCTAAAGAAAGAAGGCATTACTCACAGGGTCCGGCAACATGATATTACAAGAAATTCAACAACACTCAACCCAACTCTACTCAAATGACAAAGAGCTTCGAAAAACAATTTCCGGAAAACGACAAAAGAAAAAAAAAAAAACGTATCCCGGCATTTCCGATACCCACCGCAACCCTCAAAATTCACCCGCCGAGGGCACCACCAATCAGGTAAGTAAGCCACAAATTATACTAACCAAGATACAACGACGGCGGTAAAGCACAAAAATCTTATCAAATTAGAATTCGAGGAATCGAAAAGCAGTGAAATCGAGTTCAGCAAAAGCACATTTTTCTCGACATTTAGAAAAAGAAAAGAAAAGAAAAAACAGAATAAAAGAAAATTAAGAAACCTTCTTGCAGGTGAGGGGGGAGGCCAGGAAATACACGCAATCCGTGTTTCTTTTCTGAAATTCTTCCTCCATTTTCTCTTTTTACCGTCGAATTTTTGTTGTAGAGAAAGAAGAAATTCTCAATTGCGGGGGAGCGGAGAGTAGAAGAGCATTAGCATTTCTTCTAAGATGAGCGACGGGTGTCCCCGCACTTCCTACTGTGTGCGCGTAACTGCGTATCCATTTTATGGATGGTGTTTAGGCTTTTTAGCCACGTTGTTGTGCGCAGGCGCGCTGGATTGGGGCCTCTGGCTGTTGTAGATAAAGCCCATGGGCTTGATTATGCACAGTGTTCCTAATACTTTAATGGGCTTATGTAATTGGAATCTTCTGTAATTGATCCATGTATCCCTAACGGGTAAAAAAAAGCCTAGCTTAATTATACTATCGGCAGTGTGATTGGGATTTCTAGAGATGTGATTAATATGGAGAGACCAGTCGTTACTCATCAAAAGCCGAATTCTGCCTTGTAGTGAGCCTGGGAAGTCCAAAGCATTTTGATCATGTCTGAGGGTCACTGCCTCTAGGCAATCCACGTCCAGAAGTATTATTTCATAGCCTCGAGCCCTTGCTAGGTGGAGTCCATGATAAATGCCCCATAATTCCGCATCTAGAATGTCGAATTAAGCAAATTGGTGATAATCGAATTCTTAACTCTAGATGTTTATTAAATGCTCAGATTGAGTGTTGTTGACTGCTACAAAGCCCCAGGTTTTGAGGCTATTTGCGAACTCGAAATTGCATTTGAAACTGAAAAAACGTATTCATCCATCTCACTTAAATAATTCACTATTATAAAAGCGCGGTGACAGAGTGAGCAATATTAAAAGCGAACAAAGCCTGTGGTGAATAAAAAGCTTGCAAAATCTTAGCCCGCAAATGACAGAAGCTCAAAGGAAGATCATTTAAATAGTACAATCTACAGTCTATATTTTATGTTACACAAAAGGGCCATCAGAAACATGACGGAGCCGATTGAAGTGATTTTATGCTCTCAATTAAATTCAAGGTTAACAGGCTGAAAAAATTTGTGTTCCCTTTCCTCACCAGTCACCATTGACTTATTGCATACATGTATGTCATTTCTATCCAAACCGTTACTCAGAATTTGTAAACCATGCTCTCTGTGTAACCCACATCCTTCAGCAAGCCCGACACCTGAAATGAAAGGCCAGGAACAAACATCAGAAAATCGGGGACAGAGTAGTTGTTTCATAAGTAGATAATAAGCTAAAACAAGTAAGCAAGATGATAATCAATGATTGAAGGAAAGGGAGAGTAATTGATATTAATTTTGAAAAGCAGATTTTGCTTGGATAGCTTTAAACAACAACTTAGCAATTCAGGCAGGATATAAACTCAGTTTTATAAACATATACCTCGCCCTGTGAATAATCCTTGGCCTTGTTGCCGGACACAAGTTCCATCATGCCTGGAGGACCACAGACCTGGAAGGGGGGAATAGGAGTGTGTCAAGTGTTTGAAAAGTTTATTTATGTCTGTTCAGCTATACATAGTATTGGATGGCTATTCATCTGGTAGACAAATACTTGAGCCTCACCATTTGGGATTTCTATCATACTAAGCAATGCCAGATGACACAAAATCGTGGATGAATAAATTACAATCTTAGAAGCATCATACAAGCATGCAAATCTACTTACAAGAATAAGCTAACACCGAATACTTACAAGGATAAGAGTATCATCCCCAGGAGCAGGCAATCCTTTCACGACCATGTCCTTTGATATGTAACCTTTGCCACCAACCCAGTCATTTGTAGGATTATCAACAGTGTAATACACCTGCAAAGTCAAGTTCAGAGACAATTTTAATTTGTGTAGTGGAGACTTTCACATCAAGATGATACAATGTATGAACATTTTTACAATACCGTCACATTAGGGTGGCTTGCTGCTAGAACATCAAGTTTCTTTTTGAGAAGTATATCATCAGGGGATACATTTGCATATATTAATGAGACCTACATTAATCAAAATACACAAAATCAGGTCCAGTCAAAGAGTATACAGTCTGATAAAAATTTGAATGATCAACTGCTCACCTTGGTGTTGTCATCAGGGTTCTTGACGATAGCCTCTATAATTTGAAGCATTGGAGTAATGCCACTTCCTCCAGCAATCTAAAAATGAAGGCATCGCGTTTTATAACCCATGTCAGAGAACTAATAAGCATTTTGATAGCAAAAGATAACTATCCACTCAGAAGAGAATTCAACGTCAGCAGTCAATTTCTGAATCAATAAACGAAAAATAACACAGTGGCCTTACCATGCCAATGTGTTTCTTCATATTCGGGCTATATCTGAGCTTTTCGATGGGACTGCAACAACAATGCTTTGCTTAGAAAAAGTATGATAAGCTCTTTACAACAATGTAATTTCATTAATAGATAATAGAAGCCAGCTTAGAATAAGTTTTTCGAAATATGCAACTCACCCTTTCACTTCAAGAACATCCCCTGGTTTTAACTTTGCGAAATGCTGACTCATTTTCCCTTCTGGATACACCTGAGAAATTTTGCAAGGGCAGAAACTAATGACACCCCAGATAGGCTATGTGCATTGAGATGAAAAAGAAGACAAAGGCACACCTTAATCATTAAATCAAAATATCCCTTGGCATCTGGATCTGATATAGGCGTATACCTGAAAATTGAAATACTCCTCATAAGAATGCAAGATTGATGATCTCAACTCATTCAAAATTTCAAGAAGGAAAAGAATTTAGATTAAACCACCTTACAAAAATATAAACAAGAAACATGTCCCATTAATACCTAAAAAAGTTACTGAACTAGTCTTACATGTATGTAATCAAAAGATTAGAAGTTTTTCAGTTGATACTTTGAACCAGGTTATGAGCTTAAAAATTACATTCCAAAAAAATTGACAAAGAAAGCCATTTTTTTGTCGGCATGAACCGACAGATCATAAAAAGTACCACCAAGCCTAGGTTAATGCTCCAGTGGAAAGCAGGATATTGCCTTTAAACATAATTAAAATGGGTACAAGTACTTACGGTCTAACAACATATTTCTTCTTCCCTTCAGCATCTTCTCCAATTGGGGCTCTACGAGTAGAAAGCGTGTTTATCAGATTCACCAAAAAGTCTAATCATACACATTTGCAAATTTAAGAACTTTTCTATAAACTAGAATACATATGGAAGATAACATAAGTATAAAAAACATACCTCGTAAGAAGGCAGGATGCAATATCGAGACCTAATTTAACAGACGGATCAAAGGAGAACCTGCAATATAAGTGAAAAGAATAAGTGAAATGTGCATGAATCAGATCCTTAACAACCGCCGAAAAAGAAAAGATAGACCGACATGTGAATTGATATTAATCATTAAATAAGAGTGCATAACCATAAATTCCTTTACTAAAAATCAGAAGAAACAACAAATATCCAAGCCAACATATTGTTCGATACATCACAAAACTAAGACCTATTAACTATGAAAGAGATTAATTTTAATTGCAAGCTAGAACTTAAACCAAATCTTTTAGGATAGCTGTAAAAGCTATGAAAGTGAAAAAAAAAAAGAAAGAAAAAAAAAAAAACCATTCTTTAGCTCCACTCATCTCCTCTACATCTCAATTACTTCTCTTAAGGTTGATATGACGCCAGCAACAAGAAGACTGAATTCCCTAGTCCTAAGTATCATGATGTACGCGAAAGCATTAAAATGTACTATCCTGCAGAATTTAATTACTTATAGAATGCAAGTTGAAACATACCTAAATAATTGAGTGTTGTGGCTGACTTGCGCCTTGTCTTGCAATTTGAATTCGATCCATTTGTTAGGATTGAGAGCTGAAATAAACAAGACCGCCAATCATGTAAAAAACACATTGAGTAAAACAACCGCCGGAGAATAACTATTCAGGGCAATTAAACTAGACCGCCATAGTATTAATAATGTCGAACAGATACAATTATCCAGAAAAGCATTCAGGCAATTACTAACCCATTGGTGGCCCTGAATCTTCACTGGCTTCATCAAGGTAAACCTGAAATATAAAAATAGCAAATTAATTCTCAGCTTCCAGTAAATTAAAATCAGCAAACAGATGCAGAATTATACAAAATAATGAGGACGAGCTATAATGCACGACAGTCTAATCAAATTTCAGGGGAACCAGAACACTCCAAAACCTAGACTCAGAAGTGCATTCCAATTTCTGAGTATTCATATATGCTACTATAACATTCAGACGAGAAGAAGTTGTAAGTGCTGCCTCCAGTCTGCGATCCAAAAACCTGGTGCTGAAAACATGTTTCATTCCTCACAAATTACTACGCAATACTCATCAATATACCAACGAAACAGCTCAATGTTTACCGCAAGCCCAAACCAAACCCGATCATCCCCCATTTCAAAACTCCAAATGAAGACAGATATTCGGCATAATGATCACACTCTTCATTTCTCAGTTTAGCTTGTCGGTTATCAAACACAGATGAAAGAACATTAAAAAAAAAAGGGTCATTCCTAGAATTGCGACTGGTCGCTTAATTTTTTGCGAAAATCAAGCAAAGAAAAACCCTAGATACACCGTATGGAAAAATTACCACTTTTGAGGAGGAATAGTAATAGATATAGGAAATGCCTCCAGACACTGCGGCAATTGCACCAATGGGGAAGCGAAAATTGGCAGAAGCAGACTTGGATTGGCCACGATAAGCTTGAGTAAAGGCGATCGGTGCAGCCTTTGCAAGTTTCTGAAAGAATGAAGCCATGGCTTCAGTGTGTGACTGTGCGAGAGAGAAAGTGGGGAAGTAGCCTTCCTTCAAATTAGATGGCGGCGCGTACGGGGTGGGACTCAAATAGTATTTGCTTCTTCCAGCAGCAGCTCCGCCTTTCTAAATCCTCCACAGGAGAAGGATTCCAGTGCGATCGAGGTCAGGCAAAATAATTTTGCAACCTACACGTGTCTGTCCAAGGAGAAGCCTACGCTAAAAAATGGAAAGAAAATAAAGAAATGTTTGGATTGCTTTTTGGTATGTTTTACATGTTTTTTGTATTGAAAATGTAAAAGAGTGTTTTAAAAATGTAAAAATATACTGTATGTTCTAATGGAACAAACCAACTATTTCAAATAGTATAATTTTTACTTATACGAATAACAATTCATTAACTTTTTTTATATATTATGCACTTGTATCCGATGTCATTGCTCCGACTAAGCAGCATTAATTAACTTTATTGCTGCACAACGGTGTTAACACCTGAAAATTACGATTAGTTTGGCCAATTTCGTCACCGGCTGCGTCAGGGTTTTTTATTTTTATTTTTTTATAAAGGCTGTGTAAGGTTACTTGGTCCAATTATGTCTCACATTCAAAAGAATGTTGATCCATCACGTTCAGAAGAAAGTTCTTTCTAGAGATCTTAAGGTTGAATATAGACTTACGATGACTAGTTATTTTCTTTTATGCATTACAAACAAGTTGTTGAATATACATATTTTCCCTCTGGAAAATCCTCCATTACGTTGTAAAAAATAATGAAGGTATGAATATACATATTCCCCCAAAAAAAAAAAGATCCTCCATTACATTGTAAAAATGATAAATTCAGGGTAACAAAGAAGGATTATATAACTGGAAAAAAAGTAGCTCTAAATGTGATACAATTTTCGGAGGAACAAAAAATCTGCAGACAGTTGTATCGCTTAATAGCGTCGCAGCAGCTATAAACTGGAGAGAGAGTTAGCGGGCTGTTTAATGAGTGTTTCTGCACCATTCACCATGGTTTGATTCGCCCAGGAGGATATGAGATGATGGGCTATGGCAAAAGGCCCTGGAACAAACATCGGAGCAAGTTCACCACTTTCTACATTGAAGTCAGATGTTAGGCTCTGTGATTTCTCAACTCCCTTACAAATCTGGTCGACTTTAGCTGCTGCAGTCCTCTGAGCCTTCTTGTATTCCGCCATTGTCAATGCTTTCTTTACATCCTCTCTGCTGTGCCATTGTGCATCTAAGCAAGTGGAAAGGTCGTCAACATCGTGAACATTCCATCCAGAAAGGACTAAAACCACAACTTAAATTTGTCGCAAAGAATTCAATACAAAAATATGTATACTTCAGGTGGTCACGGGTATCTTTTCCAGGTCCCAATTTCAATAAAGCTAAGCAACCGGAGTTGGCCTCAAAATCTAGCAGTGGAAAAGTCTTGGGAGATTATAAGTGGTAAGATGCAATAGGGAAAGTACCTTCCAACTCTCCCTTGTCCACACTAATGTCAAGTGATTTAGCATACGCATAAAACCCCACCATCAGCTGACATGGGATGCCACCTGGTGCAACTGCAAAAAACCCATGCGAGAAAGAGCAAATCATCAAAAACAGAAATCATTATTCTGGCACAGTGAACACAAAACACTTGGCTGGAGTAGCTTCCAGATTACTAGAATAAGCATCAATATTATTACTGAAACAAACAAAAAAAGAATCTGTGAGACAAGACAAAGCCCTAAACTAGAAAAGTAGTTAGCCTCCTGAGTCCTGACCAGACAAGTGTCCTCCGAGCAAATACATTTGGAAGAAATATGCCAGATTCCACCTTCTATAGGGGTTGTATGTTTTAAAGATATTGGACTCCTGACTTCTCTCCCTGTCTCCCAGTAAACCCCTCATCCCACTCAGACCCCCTTCCCTTTGGTCCTCAAAGAGAAATGTAGGATGGGTACCAGCATTTCATCATGGTATTTCCAACAATATTTCCTAAAAGACTGGTCAGACAGGATAGACATCAATTCTCTAAGGTCAATTCACCCAGAATTACAAAGCTATACCATTCTGTGGTCATCGAATTAAAGCAGGTCCATCAGAAATTCCATTTTTGGAGCCCATAATCGGACCTGAAATGCAGAAATGGAGAACCTGGCCCGGATCATTTATATCCCAAAAAAAGCATGTCCCGATCCTACGATTTATGTGCAGATCCACTAAAAAATGCAACTAAACATGAAGTATCCCCTAACGAGAAATTAATTTAAAAAAAGGCGGAAAAAAAAGAAGCAAAACAATATCTTTATTCTCCAGATGTCATACGTTACTTCTTGGTTCTAGTTTAAACCATTTTTTCAAATGAATCACTCTAACGTAGTAGTCATCATATGTAGATCATGTTATGTCATAGAAACAATTGAAGGGTCAAAAAATTTACTTACCCGGCCATGGCTGAGAACTATGATAGACTACTTCACCAACTTCAACACCAGTTTCCTCCAAAGTTTCTCTTCTCACGGCTTCTTCTAAGCTCTCTCCTGGCTAATAATCCAATTGAAAGGAAAAGATAATAAGGACAGATGAACAAGAAGGCAAAGTTCAATCACAATCAATGGATAACCACAAAGGAGACACAATTGATTCTGTAAAATCAGTACAAAATTGCACAGAGGATTGCACTTAGCGCGGCTGTTTGATTTGATCATAAGTTGACCCAAAGATGTACATCTCCACATACCTCTATAAAACCAGCCAGACAACTCCACATGCGCGGCACATATCTAGACTGCTTGCTCAATAGAGCACGGTCATTCTCTTTATCAATAACTAGCATAATGACAACCTATTAAACAGCAAAATGATCAGGAGAACTATGGGTATTGATCATCAGGAATGTCATTCCTCTCTTCTGATTATATACTTGTTAAATTTAGGCATAGAAGGAGGGAAAATATGCATGGAATACCGGATCAACACGGGGATATATCCTCTTTTTGCACATCTCATTCGAACAAGATTTCCGTCTCCCAGCTTCCATGGGAACTGTTTTTGCTCCACAATATCCACAAAAACGTGACGTGGCATGCCATTCCAGTAAAGCTCTTGCCTGATTCAATGCAAACCCATTCACTTCATAAACAATCATTTAGAAAAAGGCTGCAACAATTACCAGCAGTCCAGCATCACATAAGTAGTATGATTTACATTGCAGTTGAACAAAGAAAACTTCATTCAACACAGAAAATTAAATTATAAAATTCTCAAACTGACCCACAGAGTACTACCTTATTTAGGATCAATAGGTGACTACAGAAGTTCTTAGACAAGTTCCTACATCAGTGGAACGTAATCCATAGTTCATTTGGAGAAAATGTAGGCTGTTTTAACATTTGTCACTTGTCTAACATGTCTGTGTAATCCAAAGTGAGGGACAGGATGCTTAATCTTATAAGCCAAAAAATCGAAACTAAGCAATGGTCACACAACCAAATTTCCACAGGCACTTCTTAGGTTGAAGCTTTGAGTTAACTGCATTCTGAGTTAATAAATGATAACATTCATTGAGCCAGCAATCACGTTCTTAATCACTATTCCACAGCATTTAATTTTGCCAAAGAGGCCTCAAAAATAACTCATAAGATAGACAACTTTCATGAAGAGATAGCTTAAGCACTGCACCAACTGAAACAGCATACAATAAACCCAAATGGCCAGTACATAATAACAAAGCAGAAAATTACTCACATGACCAGCAACAGCAAGATCACCCATGGATATAGGATCGGCCCAATCAGTGGCAACCATCAAGGTCCTCAACTCCACAAAAGAAAACTGCCGGGACCCCAATTCACTCACCATGCCACTAGCTTCAGATACATCAATTGCCCAATACACAACATCTTCTTCAGCTTTAAAACCCAGGTAAACCAACAAATCTTCAACCAAACTAACTTCAGATTTCTCCAAAAACACCTTGCACTCCCCCAAACTCAACCAACCCAGACGCCAATTTGGCCCACCCGACCCGCTATCCCCACTAGAACCCACCAAAGGTCTGCCTTTTCTGAAAGGCAAAACCTTGAAATCAGGGGAAAACGATTCGTGGGTTGAGTTGCTCAGAAGAAGAGTCTTGAGGGTTTGGAATGCTGAATTAGGAGAGAAAGGATCACTTGGCTTTGCGGTACGCAGTCTCGATGGGTTGCCGGCAAAGGCATGGGAATTGAGGCTGATGGACATGGCGGTGGAGAATTGGCAGCGGGGATTCGCGGCTAAAAGGGTCAACGTCCGGCAAGATAGAGCTTTGGAAATGGAAAAAAGGGCAGCTGAAGAAGAAAGGAGGAATGGCATTTGATTTCCCTTCTTCTTTGAAATGTATTCATTGGCTGTTCATCTCTTCGACACAGTGATGAGGTCAGACGGGGAAGTTTAGGTAGGTGGTTACGTTGTTGAACCGACATGTGGACGTTTTGGCTGTCCTTTTGTGAGCCATATATCAATCTTACCTCGCTGATAACACCACTTTAATAACATTTAGACCTTTCAATATGAACTTTTTAACCACTATTTTAGTTAAACTTGATCAAAATTTGACTATCCTATCAAACTATATGCATGATTGTGGATTAACATTATCCGAACAGGCGAAATTTTCAAAGGTTTAAACACAAAATTGATCACTAGTTAGTAAAACCTCAAAGTCAAAACATTGCCGTCTCTTGAATTTCACAACATTTCGGAAAGAAAGGGTTATAGAAGGGTATATACATTCACCGGGTGTTGAAGTTCATGGTAGACCTTGAATTGTACATTTACTAGACTTGAGTTAAATAATTCTAAAAAAAAAAAGTGGCAAAAAAAACTCAATAATGAGGGAGTGGCCATCAGTATAAATACGGATTTCCAAAATCCGATTTTTATTCACATCCAAAATTAAAATCGGATTTTGAAAATTCAATATTCATACTTTTAGTCATTTCTCTATTCCTGAACTATTTTTGGTTACATCTATTTTTATTGATTATTTTTGGGTCAAAAACTCTCTACTAGAAAACTAAATAAGTACTATTTCTGTCCCGAAACTTTTTTCGGGTTTGAATTTTTCATTTCTAGTATAAATTGAAAAAGGTGAAATTTGATATCGAACAATAATTTCATAACAGGGAGAATAATTAAGACGCAGTCAAAATCTACTTGTTTATGGGTAGATTATTTGACGTTGTTTACAGCGGAGAGTTCACGGGATATCAATGCTTAATAGATTTACAGATTGATGTTAAATCGTTATTGGAGCACGACATCATTGGTGTGGTATACTAGTAGTTTGATTCATTCAGACTTTTTTAGCCTCTTCTATTGCATAAACAAATAAATAAATGTATCTATATGTCTATAGTATCGGTTTAAACTTAAAGGTTGAAATTTTTTGATTTAGTGACCCTGCTCTTCAAACTCCTGGCCATTAACTATATATACTACAAAATTACAACTTGAATGCTCAATCACTTTTGGAGTGTGTGCAAAAAAGAACAACTCTTGGAAATAAGAGGGCAAACCACTGAACTAGAATTGGTTCCGGGAGTAGTTCTTTGTGAGGCATATGCTTGAATTGCTTGGAGAGATTGACAGATGTTGATGTATATGCTTTCAAGTATTTGACTTTAATTTGTTTACCGCACTTCTATTGCTGGCTGGTTGACATTACGCAAAAGAAATGTTCTATCTAATAAACTTACAAATTATTCACTCTGTCTCAAAATAAGAGTTGATATTCATAGAATTGAACCCGCGATTTGCCGAGATATTCCCTCACGAGTTATCATCATTTTGCTGGAATCTTTCCGAACAGTTTCTACTTTCTAGTTCAGCTCCTCCTTTCCGAATATGGAATAACACATAAATATAACAGTTTTTACTTTAAGAGAAAAAAAAAAAGAGAAAAAAAGAAAAAGAAAACAGGATAAGACATTTAAAAGAAGAAAATGATCCAAAAATGGGTTCGGTGTTTAAACATAGTAAGAAGATAAACGCGGTGAAACAAGTCGAGATGGACTCTAAATCTTGTCTACCATCCAGAAAACAAATAAATTCTTCACAACAGTAGAACTGAAGTGAAAAGCGAGTAGAGAAAGAATACGCTATAAAATGGAGGGCAAGAATCTGGTGAAAAGAAGTTCGGATGATATATATCTGTTCATAAAAATTGCCTGGCTGGGATCTCTATACATAAACATCTAGCACATTGATCAAACATGCAAAAAAAATCAAATCACATAATCAATATGTGGGGAATCGATCCCAATTTACTTTAATCAATATTCTAAGCTAACTGAAACATTTTTTTTCCCTCATCTAGTTAGTTTTAGTTGCTTAATGGGTAGAAGAGAACATCACTATTGATTTGATTTTGACGATGATCATGAAAGTTGCATTATTGCTTGTGAAATATGACAGCGAGCTGTGTATACATGAAATGTATTCCCCAATCAGAAGAAGTGCAAATGGAAAGTGGGAATTGACTCGAATAATAATTGATTAGAAAAGGGTATATAGCTCTAGCGCATCAGGTTCTTATCTACATCAAAATTATTTCTACTTCTTAATTTCAGACCAGAAATGAATAAAGGAATCAAAATAATGCTCCAAAACACGACCATCTTTGGACCCTGAAAATTGAACTCATCAATATGCATGATTCTTGAATCTAATATCTGATCCTTTTCTATAGCTACAAGTTTTTTCGAGTTCTATGTTTATTATTATTATTATTATTATTTTTGGCTCTAATGGTGTGGTCCATGCTCCTTGCAGGAGGACCCTGCGAATAATTCTTGGCTTTGGACAGTAACTAATCAGGGAGCTTTAGTTCTCTGAACAATATGTCATACATTGATGACATGGAGAGTTGCAAACGAACTTTCCATCAAGTGGGAAAATCAAGGGATTTCATTAGTTTTAAATTCAGTGAAGTACATTCACAATATGGGTGTTAGCTACATTTGTTCCGGAAAATGCAGAACAATTCTGCGGAAAATGTGTCAACAGCCCCCCTTTTTTCTTCTTTTCTTTTTTCGTTGGTGTTTTTTTTTTTTAGACAGAACTAATTAAAGAAGTGAAGAAAAGACTAATACACAAAACATTCTAATACATTAGTTTTCAGTTTTTTTTTTTTTTTTTTGTCTGGAGGGCAAATTGATGATCGATGTTTGTTGTGGTCGTACTTTGGTTGAATACATCTACTAGTTTAAAGTCACACTCTTCCATTGTTCACAAATTTCGCGTATTTGCTTCCTGAAAAATGGATAGCAAATGATGATAAGGTTAAAGTTAAACTAAGATGGTCACTAAAATGCAATTACAAAAAAAATAAATAAATAAATAAAGATTGCATATTTAGAATCGTGACTTACAGAAATCTCGAAGCGATTTGCACTTATGGCATTCTAGCCTGCTGGCATAGTTATGCTCACCACATCCATATCTAGAGAGAGAAAAAGAAAAAAAAATGTCAGATAAACAATTCAAAAGAAATGTGATGATTTTGTTAGTATGAACCTTTTTTTTTTTTTTATCTTGTAAAAGTTAGTATGAACATTTTGCCACTTAGTAGTATCATGCACGTTTTTTTGTGTTCTAATTCCATGAACCAAATAAAATCCATATTGAATTTAATTTACCTGGTGCAAATCCAATCACCAGTTTTCCAGCCAGGAATAACAGAGGGATCACATAAGTAAGCCGGCGGAGGGATCATGCCGGGGACATAGCCGCCGTAATCACCACCCTTTGAAGCTCCACATCTATAGCAGTTATTTCTGCTGGCATAATTATGGGCACCACAGTTCATCCCAGTGCAATACCAATCCCCTGGCAAAACCTCTGTTCTGTTTATCGTCCTGTATGTTGCGATGTCGGCCGCCGAAGCGAACTTAGGGCAACCACATTTCTGGCATGCGTCTCGTCGCTTGAAGTTTGTGTATTGGCAAGCTGCACACATCCAATCTCCTTCCCTATTCATTTTTGTGTGTGTGTGTGTGTGTGTGTGTGTTTGTGTTTTTTACTCTTGATGATCACAAAACCTGGAATGGATTAATTCAAGTTAAATTCAGGAAGCCGGGATGGAATCGGATTGGGTATTAGTTGAAGCAAGAATGTTGGATTATTTACCTGAAGAAATGAACAACTGAGAAGGAGAAATTAATAGCAGCACTTGGGTTTTGGATAGAGTTTTGCAAAGTGCTGGTCTTGCTTTGGTTTGCTTGGATGTGTTTGTGGTTTGGTGAGTTTGGATCAATGGGTTTGGACTGGTTTATATAGTAGTTGGTCAGTTTGATTGGGAGTGGGGTCCCTTTCGTTTTGCTTTTTGTGGTTTTCACATATATGCTTCTTCAGAGGGTTTCTCGGTTCTCTGATCGATTGGGTTCCAAAAGTAGAGAAGGATAGATGTATATATATATATATATATATATATATATATATATATATATATATAATTGATTGGAAAAAGAGAAACCCTATTACACCATATATAAGTGTTACTGACAATTATAGCGACAGTGAATCTATTTAATAAATGTTTCAGTTATTGATATACGAATTATGCAAATAAAAGAAGACAAACTCAATATGTATACATTTTAACTTTTGAAGGATAGTAACACACCTTTTTATTATCTAGTATGTTTATTGATGTGTATTACATCAATCGCTAAACTATTGATGAATATTATTAGTCATTTTCTTTTGAGTTATGGAGGAACGGGAAGGTGAACCTTTTTCTGAAGTTCCAAACAAACAAATGCATGCACAGAAGCACATATTTGTCATACAGATAAAATCCCGTATGTTTGACAGTCCTCTTTTTCATTGATTCCAAGCTTTCATTATATGCATTAAGAAAAAGGGGAGGAAACAAAAAAGAAAAAACAACCGTTTCCTAGAAAACTACTCAATTATTCCTTATTCTTTTATCCAATTTCAGTAAAGTTTTCGAGATGGCAGATATCAATATAATAAAGAGTAAGCTCCATAAGGGTTTTTTCTGCTTTCACTCAATTACAAAAGGCAGATAAATATTTGGAAGAGTATTTACGTTAATACGGCACAGCACATATATTTGAATGTGTTTGTAAATTTTACACATTTTTACCTTAGTATTCCATTATAACCCTACCATTTAAGTTTTCACGACTCACAAATATATAATTGCATACATATAGTTGAGGATCCTAAAAGCCAGTGTAACAAAATCAGCATGTGAACTAATATATTGTAAATTGCCATCCTAAAGTTGCTTTTGCCAATTTGTAACTCTGATACTTTATTCATGTCAATTACACTCATGTTTTGATTTCATAACACGAGTTGAAATCCCAATTTTATAATGAATCTATTCTAGAATAGCCATAAACCTTTTAAGATTCCTATCTCAAAATCAAAACTTAATTATTTTGCGTCCTAAAAAATGTCATGTTTGTTAATCACATCGTTTTATGACTCATCAGTATTCCCTCCGGTTCTAATTATAAAATACAAATTGCGTTACATGACTCTGCAAATTAAATCACTTTATGCCCTCCTTATCCTGCTTTTTTGTTGTTGTTGTTGTTGGTCCGTGATGACATGGATCCTTACGTGTACAAAATGTTCATGCATGGTTTGCTTACCTGGCTTTTTACGCAATGGTATCAATTATCATCACATACGCCTTCTTTGCATGGAAAGGTTTATATGGTTCAGGGCATACACCGTTCAGGTAATAAATGGTTGAAAAAAATCTGTGTAAGGTAATTTTCGGAATGGGAATAAATTCCTTCTAATGCTCACTTCCTCTCCAATCCCAAATTCTATTCTTTCGATCTTCTCTCTTTGTTTTATTTTATTCTTTCTTTTTCTGCAATAATGCAAAAGCCAATTTGATCAAAGATTGCATATCCAGCTGCCATTCTTTGCTTCCTTTCTTCTTACTTTCGAGTTTTCATGTTTCAGATTTTACTGTTTTTTTGAAGACATTCTTTCGAATCGTGTCGTGTCTACCCCAGCACGTGCACCATTTACATCTAACTCACTTCTGCATGCATGGCAGAAACTTTTGGGATTATTTCATATTCCATCTCATATTTCACATTATCATTCCATATTCCGAAATCATTATTCAGACGGATTAAAATTAAAATTTAATGCGAACTATTTTTTTAAAACAGATATACCATATAAAATGGACAATTATTACGGGACATTGAGAGTAGGCAATTTAAGTATAAATCACCGACCTTTATATCCACAATTTGTGTTATGTTTGAGAGGAGTGTTATATCATACAAACCCACTAATTAGAATAATGTGGACACTTCGCGCATCAAATATACTACGATAACAATATACGATTGAGGCCATCCGTTAAGTATTCGGCATTGCATCTTACAATACTGCGTTCTTTTGTTGATATTAATGGTTTAGATTCGTAAGTACTTGTCAACTATTCTATTTAGCATTTGGAATTGGAACAATATCAACAATAATAATAAAAAAAGATAATAATTAAAGTAACCAGCACCATGATTAGCATCGAATACCAAATAAGCAACCAAAGCTACAACATCAACATCGATTAAAAAAATAAAAATAAAAAATCATATATTCTCGAGCAAGCACAAACGAATAGAAAGATCGATCGACGCAGTTAATTTATTAAGCTGCAAAGAATGATTTGAATTTGTTTTGCGATGATTTTTTTTCCCCCCTCCTGTTCTTTGGCTTTTCTAGACGTGTATGTACAGAATTGATAGGAGCTAGTCTAACGTAACTTTTTGAACAAGGCAGTCTTTTTGAATTGACTATATCAATGTGTATATTTCTTTTACTAAATATTGTAGCAGAAAAGGTAGATTCTGTGCTGCTATATCAATATTGTCCGTAATATTAAATCGAAATATGATGTATGCCATTAGATAATACGAGTCTATCCTGAATATGTGGTTTGTTTCGTAGATTCGAAAACTGGAGGAGTACGAGGTTTCGCATCGCTGAAAATTTGGATACATACTCATTTAGCTAGATACCTTACCGAGTTGCAGTTCAATTATTTTGACAATAATGTTTTTTTTTTCCTATGAAGAATTTTAGAGAACATTGATTACGAGCGTTGCAGGTGTATCGATCAAATTTTTTTTTCCTAAAAAATCTATAAATCATCAAGCACCGTAAATTGGTAAAGTTTCATGGTGATATATGTATTACTAGCTACTTCTGTCTAAAAAAATAGTCTATTTTGAATTTTTAAATTTATAAAATTCGTATTTTTTAAGGACAAATGAACTAGAACGTATTTAAAAAAAAAAAAAGTAATCCATTTTGAAGTGCTAAGTATGAAACCGTATAAGTCCTTTAATACTCTCTCCGGTCCTTATGCTAAGTGATTTTAATTTGTCCTAAATTTTATCTATTGTATGTTTTGAATTGAAAATGAAAATTTAAAAATGTATTTTTACACTTATTGTGTTCTTTCAATTATTATAAAATATTTTTAAACCTTTATTTATAAGTAGAACACAATTAATAAAATTTAGGACATATCAGAATTCCTTATATGCCGACGGAAGTAAAACTTACTCCCTCCATTTCAAAATGTAAGTTTTTTTAGACTTGACATATAAACTAAGGAGACAATCATCCAACAATTAATTTATGTGTTAAATATCTTTTTTACTCCTCATTAATTACATTAAAATTATAAACAAGACTAAATAAAAATATATTAGCATCATTTATTGAGGGTAAATTTGAAAAAATAGTCATTAATTTGGCTAGAATTTGTAAAACGACCTACATTTTGAAAAATCTCTCCAAACCTAAAATGACCTACATTTTAAAATGGAGGGAGTATTAATTAACACTTACCACACTAGCAATTAAGAATATCTTATACTAATTTTCTGCAATATTGGTCCATCAATAACTCCATGATGGCATGATCCGTCACGGCAAAGGATCTACTGGTTAAATGTCTTTCTTTAATATCAACCTCTACCTCCAGGCATGATAATCCTTGAAATAAATAAGAAAAGAGAGAGAGAGAGAGAGAGAGAGAGAGAGAGAGAGAGAGAGAGAGAGAGAGAGAGAGAGAGAAGAAACTACAAAGAATTTCATGAGTTCAATAGTCAATTGAGAAAATTTTCAGTGACGAGTAAATTAATCTCGTAACTTTTGATAATGCTTATTGTGAAATTTTGTCTTCCATGGCCATTGCAACTTGTGAACCCTAGCACATTTAGCACCGTCGAAACCAGAGGACTCAAAAACTCAAAAGTCGAAACAACTTGGAGACTTAGAAGCATCAAATGACAAGCGGCACTTACAATAGGACCATAGGAGGACCCGACCATCCAAAATCCAAATTGAACATGAAATGGTTCTAAGTGCCTTTTTACCTTTTTCTTTTTATAGTATGTCCATTCAATCGCTTAGAGCTACGGAGATCTATAATGAAATTAAATTCAGTTCCTTCGAATTTGTCTAGCCAATATGGTGTTGAAATGACCGATCAATCCTCACAACAATGTAATGTGTCTTGCATGATGTTTTCTTTTTGTCTTTACTCAAATTGTTACGTAATTTTTTAGCGTCTAAATTAAATGTTATAGTAAAATTAATACTCTCTCTGTTTCAAAATTATTGTCTAATTTAAGATTTCACTTTTAGTACAATTTGAACTAAAAATGAAAATTTAAACTGGACAATAATTATGGAACGGAGGGAGTATATGTATCTGTTTAAGAGAGGACGAACTCTTTTGTATCTCCAAAATTTCGCGAGTCTTGCAGATTTTTCGAAGTAGTAAAAATAGCGGGGGTCCGCAAAAGAGATGACATGGCGAACTAGAAACGTTGAAGAAGAAGCACAAATGCCAGCGTGTTGACCTAGGATTCGATAAGAAAGAATCAATGTGGATCGAGTCCCCCCTCCCCAACATAATCACAAGACCAACTGAATATGAATATTCCCTCCATTTCTCTCTAAAAAAAACCTTAGACAAAAGCTGAAAGCCACTCCCATCCCTTTATTCTATATGTGTGACCATTCTCTAAAGCCAGCCAATTCTCTCCTCAATAATACTCCTCTCTCTCTCTCTCTATCTCCCCCAAGAATCTAAATCCCAACGGCGATGCAAAAAATAGCCGTAGCTTTTGAATTTTAGTATATTCTGGGGACTGTTTTTTTTTTTTTTTGCCTTTGATATATGATCAGTTGGAGCTTTCAGATGTGGGTTGGGTGAGATAGTGCTGTATGTGTTAATCGTGTTGGTAATGACTATATCTTCATATATTCTCTTCATGCTCTTCAACATGTGTATTATACTTTGGTGTGCTGTGAAAAAAAAATGTATATATGTGCCCATCAATAATTGTGGATGTATATCTATCATATTGAGTGTGACCATAAAAGCCAGAAAATGACTCCAAATTTGCTTTTGTTTCTTTGAATTGTAACAAATGAAAGAAGATTATGAAAGGATGAAGATTAAACGTCAAAAAGTCTTTTTCTGCCACAAATGGATCCTGTTCCATCATTATACCATTCGTAATTGATATTTGCTTGTTGGATATGTTGAATCTAAGTCTCACATACTCATATTCTGATATCACTTGTTCAATTCAAAATGGTATAGTATTATTTTACCATGTCGTCTTATTCTGATATCACTTAGTTACATTCAGACTAGTACCATATTATATGTAAAGCCAAATTGTTATAGGTGTTGAGTATCCCACATCGGTGATGAGAAAGAGTTGATATCAATATATAAGTATATGGACTACTCCTCTCATTGCCAATTGGTTTTGAGGTGGAACCCCATGGGCTTTATATATAGTATCAGAGCCAGCCCGCCAAGAGTCGGACTCCAAGCCTGATGTGATAAAACTGGTAGGGCTGAGACGTGAGACGGTGATTGGGCTGACAAGTCCAACCCAAAAAGAGACGTTGGGCTTGCGGGGAGTGTTGAGTATCCCACATCGGTAATTATTTAATCAATTAAAAAATGGGGAATTGTCCACCTCTCTCAAACATCAGAAGTGCTTACAACTCAATACACGGATATCAACAGTGAACACCATGTTAGGCGCAAAAGAAAAAAATAAAAAAATAAAAAATAAAAAAGAAAACCGATTTGTCATAGACAAACAAGAGATTGAGTATTCGTATTAGGATGTGTTTTAATTTATTTATCACGATATGACTGATTTAGAACATGTTAACCGTCCAAAAATTCAAGCAAGCTTCTTGTCCATCTTGTTGAACTCTTTCATGATCATGCATGCACTTGCTCATAAACTTTTTGCCAACAGTATAAATTTCTTTATTAGTAAAAGAGAATTTCCGCCTAAGGAGCTTTAGCTAGCTAGCAAAGAAAGCTTCTTAATCAATGAAGTGAATGAGCCTCTTAATCAGTATTGGATACTTTGGATTGATGATATATATTCTCAATGATTGATGGACCAATAGCTAGTGCTCTTCACTTCACTCACAACCTTTGCCAATTGCCACGTGAACTGCCCCATCCTTAAAATGGCAACTTAAAACAATAAAATAACGATAGAAAGGTTCAGTTCATCCATTTTCAAAAAAAAAAAAGAAGAAAAAGAAAAAAGTTCAGTTCATGAATGAAAGAAAATCTGATCGGAAAGGCATATCATTCTCCCTCAATTCTCCGCAGTTCGCACCTCCACCAATATGATCGAGACAAAAAGTTAACCAAACTAAAATCTTATACCTCTTTTTCTTAAGTTTGCTTCCTGATTTTTTTTTAGTTAGTAGTATCTCAGTCACAAAATAATTGTAACGAACATGAGAATCATTCGTGAAGAAATCACATCATCGATCCTCGTTGTTCTAAGCTAACGCAAAACTCAACTTATTTTCCTCTTCTAACCAAAATCAAGTATGGAGTATATATTTCTAACAAATCCACTGTAACTTCATGAAATTTGGTATACGCAACACCCAAATCAAAGTGGTTGAGGCCTTCGCATGTGCCCAGTGCCCTCTTAAATCTTCGATGATATGCGTTAAGCTCGAATCCAGAATCAGTTGTTTATTTGTATATGCAAACGACTTTCATCAGGAAACTATCTCAATTGCTGTGCGAGAAACTAATGCCAACCCATTTGCGAAATCAATTCACGGATGTACGTTAACCTGGGCTTGAATTTGATGCTTTTACACATACTTCGACGATTCCTACATATGCAGGGAGAGGTAAACTTCGCATCCTAGGCTAGAGTATTAGTGTTTAATGAGAGATTATTCTAGGGATCATGGATGCTCTGTCTTTTGCCGCCTTGATAAGAAGGTTGTTTAGAAGAGGCTCGGGAACTATTTGATAAAATTCCTTTTCAAGAGGAACAAACACTGGTAATTCTGACTGGTTCTTGGTTCTATGCAGCACATTTTATCCATATTGAAGGCACACGCCACAAATCAAACAGGTAATCTGCATCCAAAAAACATCCCTCTACTCTGCATCAATCAAAACAGACTATAAACTAAAAGAGGGAAAAAAAAACTGAAGGGAAACCATTATCATCAATATCTAATCTAATCTAGTGATGGTACTTTTGACCTTTAAGAATGGTCCACGTCCTGTAAAGCTGCTCCATTAACACAACCAAAGCAACTTCATGATTCAACACCAACGACGATAATTTGATGGACTGGTTAGCCCTTTGTCGCATAAGTCTACCATGGCCATAAGGCCCGCCAATACAAAACATCATGCTCGGAGCTCCGGAATTGTTCATCACATTCCCAACCATTGAAGCCATTTGCAGAGAATCGAGCTCTGACCCACGCTCGTCTAACAGAACAACCCATTCATCATCCGATTTGACGTGACGCATTGAAGCCGTGTCTTCGTGCTCCACCTGAACCCTTTGATCAGAAGCGTTTTTGGGGTTGGATTTGATCCGAATGTCGTCAATTGGGCAATAGGGTCGGATTTTTTTCAGGTAATCGTCTACGATCAGTTGAACTCCGGGTGACCTCTTCTTCCCCACGGTTAGTATCCGAATGGGTATTGGACTCACTGATTGACCCGTCAATTTTTTCCGACCCGGAACAGATGGAACTGAGCACGCCGCCGTCATTGCGTGGAAGAGTACGGCTTCCATTCAAAAATTTTTGTGGAAGAAGAGAGGCAAATGACGGCCGGCGCTTTGAAACGGCGGAGCAAAATCTGAAAGGAAAAGGATTTATATGCATTTCGTCCTGGATAATGCGGAATATATAAAATGGGCCTTGGCCCAATATTCAAAGTTTTCTACTGATAGGCCGTCACATGGAAAGTTCACTTAAAATGAAGCCCAAGTATTTTCGGAGCTAATTTAATCAAGTTTTCTGTTGAGGAAAATAAAAGAAACACAAAATGATTTTTTATTTAATAAAAAAATATCTTGTGTGTTTTTAGGAGGGAAAGGAAATGGAGAAAACGATTTTATTACTTGGTGTGGAAATCTTTACCTTTTAAGTTAATTTTAAATTTTCATTTCTATTCTTGTTTTATATTTTGCAAAAAAATAAAATGCATTAATCTTCAAATGATAATATACTCCCTCTGGTCCTAATTATAAGACATTTTGATTTTGTCTTAGGTTTCACCTAAAATGTATTTTTAATTAAAAAAAGAATTTTAAAACCATATTTTCACATTCGTTGTGTTCTTCTAATTATTACAAAATATTTTTAAGGTTTTTATTTCAGTTAAAAAAGAATCATATGTAAAACTTAAGACAAAATTGAAATGCCTTATAATAAGTACCGGAGGAAGTATTGATAAGGTCGCGAGATGATTTTTTGGATCGTTGATTTACTTAACCGGGGGGTTTTTTTACACTTGGAAATTTCAAGCTCAGTATTGTACACTGGTTAAATTTCTAAACTCTAATATTGCGGTGTTGTAGAACTAGTAATCTTACTCCGTGCTTATAATGTGATAGAAATGAACACACAACAGATTAATCCGAAACACAAAAAAAAAGTAAGTAAACAATCTGAATTTGGAAGCAAACATGTTTCTTATTAAATCAACAAAAAAAAAAGGAGATGAACACATATGCATGGATTCTTTATCAACAGAAAGAAGACATACACATGCGTACTGTTATTGCTTCGATTGAATAGATATTCTCTATGGTACACAGTACCTAAATAGGAAGAATTAATTCAGCAAAAAAAAAAAAAAAAACAGCTACCTAAATATCTAGTTTATCGTCATCATCAGGGGATCCAATCCAAACTTATAAGCGCTCTGAAGTTTGAAAGGATGATATAATGGGGTAATTAATCCTCAGAACTTAGTAATTGATGGTTGAAGGAGTTTTTCCGGGCAGTTGCCAACACAGTCTTGTCAGCCACAATAAAATAAGCCATTCCAGCCACTGAAATCAGTAACATATTTGTCTTGCGTTAATCCCTTAATTTATTGATTTGACAGTACTGAAAAAAGGTAAAATTAATTTTTTTTTGAAAAAGGAGGATAAATCAGTAGTATTGATTTTACCAGTGGAGACAATAAGAGCTTGAGCAGTTGGGTTCAGATTTGCTCTTGCCCATGGAAGCATCCTTGTGCTAGCCATCTACAAAATTTGAGATATATATATACATCAATTTTCATATACAATAATTAATCACTAATTAAATTTTCCAATGAAAATAAGGAACAAAAAGAAATTCATAAAAATCACAACTTACAGTTGGGATGGCAGTGGCAATGGAGGCAACCACAGCCGCTTTTGCTCCCGCAACCACTCCCTCTTCATCATCAAAAAAAAAAAAAAACACCGAAACATTAACGTTAGTAAAAACGATCAATGGATATAAATGTGAGAATGAATTGTAAGCAGAAAGATACATTACCGTGAGAACAACGTTTGGCTAAGGCAAGCCTTTGGTCGAGTGAAGTCAAGCTGCTGCAGCTTCTTTCCAGGGAAGACTGTGCTACATTTTTGGCGGCCATTTTGTTTCTAGCTAGTTAATTTTGCAAACTGATTTAATTTGGTTTTCTTCTCTAAGGGAAATGGATTGGTAAAATTGCTAATATTATTGCTTATAATGTGTGTGTCTTGTGTTGCGTACTGACTGAGTTGTTGGACGATATTTATAGAATAGGGTCACGTAACTATTGGGAGTACTGAGTTTGATGGTTTCAGATAGGATCCAACGTCGGGAAAGTCCCCGGTTTTTTATTTTTTATTTAGGTAACCAAACTTCCTTTCTTTTTTTCTTTTTTTTCCCTTGAACTGTGCAAGTGTGTGAATTCGTACGTGCACCCATTTAGAAATAATTGAATCATTGTACTACCTCCTTAACGTTATTTCAAAATAAATAAAATAACATCACCAAATGTCCTTTGAATCTTCAATCTTGCATTTTTCAACAAGTGAAAACCGATTTATCGGTCCACTAATTAAGTGTATAAGTGGTAGGTACTAGTAGTAGGTTAGGTAGATTTAGGAACTAGGAGGAGGGATTGTCAATATTAGTTAATGTTCCAAAATGTACATATTTATAGTTTGGTTCTCATTTACTCATTCCGTTCCTTTTAATTAGTGGTATTTCACGTTATAACAAAAAAAAAAAAATGAAATGGACGAAATATTATTTTCGTCCTACTAGACAAATTGGGTGCTTCTATTACTATCCATTTTTGGATAAAATTGTGGAGTATAGAGTAAAGGGAGTTGGATTACCTTATCCACTCGTGTAAATAACCAGACACCTGAATTTGCACTAGATTCCCAAATGATCTACTTTTTTTTTTTTATTTTATTTGTGATATCTTCCAATTTTTTACGGGTTTAATTTATTGGTTATTCGCAGTGGAGAGTCGGCTGTATTGATGCAGTATTGTCGCTTTATTGCTGCAGCGCTGAGAGCAGAGAGCAGAGAGTCGCCACCGGTTTGAGGAGTAAAGTCCGGAAACTCTATAAAAAGGCATTTCGCAAAACCGTGGGTGATAATGTGCTAGTTAAGTGTAATTAGCCAGACGGTAAGTCTAAGTACTTCACATTAACCACGTGATCTTTGTATCTTCTGTTACTAATTCAGGTAAATTTTTTTTTCTTTTAAGTGTACTATAGCCCTAGTGTTCAAATTTAATATTCCAACTAATTCAAATTGAATCAGGTACATCCGTTTCATGGAAAAAAAAAAATAAAAAATCTTCCAACAATACGTTGTTCCAATACTACCGAATGATCTACTTTCTTTGTATTAAAATTATTGTCTAATTTATATTTTCACTTTTATACTTTAATTTAATTTGTATTAAAAATGAAAATCTAAACTGAACATTAATTTTGGGATGGATAGAGACATAGAGTTTCTAATTAATCATCTGATCAATAATGACATGCAGTAGAAATCATTCTGGTGGAATAAAAGCTTCCAAAAATTAAATCTCACTATGGTTGCTCGTTTTTTTTCCAAAAAAAAAAAAAAAAAAAAAACCTTTCTATTCTCCCTTTTTTGTGCACTCTCTTTACTAGTATTGAAAAAGGACTTCATCCGTCCCAAACAAAATTTGTCCATAAGGTAATTTGTGGTTATGACATAAGCTTGTCACATTTCAAATTTGTTGACATTGTATTCTCACAAAAATCTACGTTTTTAGTCCCTAATGAGTTTCAGAATTACATGATACTCCCTTACTCCGTTATGATTATACTGTACACGTATCTTGATTTCGACCATTTTCATGAAAGGCCTTTTGTATACAATAGAGGTGAGCCTAATTTATTATTCCCTCTACTGAATAAATCTATATGTATATATAAACTCTACATATAGGACGGTTTACTTATGAGTAATAGTGATAAGTACAAGGAAAAAAATAACAAGGAAAAAATGACAAGGAATGATGTATTAAGATTTTAATTATGGCATAATCCTAAATGCATAAACTCTGTTTGAAAAGTTTTAACAATGGATGGGTGAGATCATTTCTTTATATTTTTTCTTTGTCATTTTTTCCTTGTACCAATCATTACGCACGTTTTAAGCTATTAGCTGCATGATAGGATGTGTATTTTAGGTAACCCTAAATAGGGTTTCGGTAGACGGCTAGGGTTTATGTAAATCATGACTATATATATTGTACAACCTGTACGTGAACAAATATACAAGAACTTAATCTTTTCATGGTATCATCCTTCTTTCCTGGCCTCTCAATTTTTTAGGGTTTCACCTGTTTTCTTTTCTTCTCGCCAAACCGCCGCCGCTCTAAATCCCAAAATCCAACTATTACTTTTTAGGTCACCACCGGCCTCTCTTTTTTCTTCTTGCCGCCGGCTTTTTCTTGCTGCCGCTGTTTGATCCTTCTCGGCATTCTCAGACTACCAACTAAGAAATAGCGTAATCTCCTAGCTAAATCAATTATTAATCGATAGGATACAAGCAAAATACACTCAACAACTCATAGCACTGTTTTTTCTTGCCGCCACCAGCCCCACTGCTTCTTCTTACTTCTTTTGTTAATTCTGCTGCTGCTGTTCATCATAATCATCATCCGCTGCTGTTCATAGTTATCACGCTTCAACTGCCGCTGCTCTCCTTGTTCACAAACCGTGCTCGGTTTTGTTTTTCCGGCCGCCACCCTGATCTTTCTTCCTTTTTCTCGTCTCTTGTCGTCAGTAACTCTTGTCGGCGGGTGATCATCAACCTTTGCCGCCGGTTCTTTATTGGTTGCCTCCGCCACTTCGGCGCTACTACTTGCTCACCTTTTGAATCCATCTCAGCCGCTCTGCACTTTCCGTTCTACCCATTAATCTTCTCTGTTCTGCTTTCTTCTTCATCGGTTTCAAAAAAAAAAAAAAAACACAAGAAAAATCTTGTACTCCATAGCCCGCTCAACTGATTCTTCGGTCATCAATGAACCTATGACCGAACCTGTGACTGCAACTCCGATGTCCAACTCCTCTTTTTCCAACTCCGTCGCTCCACCCGTGTCTCATCCGGCCGCCGGCCTCACAAATATCAAGAACTACGTCAATCATGTTCTTGACTTCACCAATTACATGCTCTGGAAGGAGCTCTTCCTTCCTGTTTTTCGCGGTCACGGAGTTATGGGCTCGACGGCACCTCTGTTTGTCCACCGCCGACTCTTCCTGCCACGGACGATCTTCTTCCTCCGCTCCTAATCCTGCCTTTCAGTCTTGGACTCAGCTTGATTCCATTGTCCTCTCTTGGATTCAGGCCACAGTTTCCACCGAAATCTTGCAAGCAATCATCAAACCCAACTCCAATCTCACTGCTCGCGATGCCTGGTTGACAATTGAAAAATTGTTTCATGATCAACTTGGCTCGCGCCTTCTTCAATTAAAACTTCAGTTTCACAGTCTCAAGAAAGCTGACTTATCTATCAACGACTATGTCACCAAACTCAAAACCTATGCCGATTCCTTGACGGCGGTTGGTTGTCCAATCTCAGACACTGATTTAGTTCTTCAGATTCTTTCTGGCCTTCCCTCTGACTACCAGTCTATCTCAACCACCATAAGCCACAAAGTGCCGCTGCCAACCTTTGTTGAAGCGCGATCTATGCTGTTTTTTCATGAAGTCGAGCTTCAAAACACTGCTTCCCCGGCCTCTCTTTCTGCAGCTACTCCACCCTTGGTTGCTTCCTCTTCCAACGACCCCCCTCCGCAGCCTGCTTCCACCATTTCCCAGCCCTTCTCCAACAATCGCGGGCGTGGTCGGGGCTGTTTTCAGAATTCCCACGGTACAGGTCGCGGACGTGGCCGAAATCACCAAAACGGTCAGTATCCAAACATGTTTTATTCTTCTTATTCTAATTATCAAGCTCCCATGTTTTCTCCTAGGCCTCGTACTCCTTCACTTCTTGGTCCGGCGCCGGCGCCAACTTTTCAGTTCGGTCTTCGCTGCCAGTTATGTAATCAACCAAATCACTCTGCTCGCAACTGCTTCCAACTTCAGCAGCCCGCTTACTATGTGGATCACTATAATCGGCTACCTCCTGCTTCGTCTGTTGACTCTTCTTGGTATATGGATACTGCCTGTGGTAATACTATAACCCCAACTTCAGGTATTCTATCTTACTTAAAACCTTTCACTGGTTCAACTAAAGTTGTGATAGGAAATGGCAATGCGTTACCTATTAAATCTGTTGGTCAAATTCCTTGTTCCTCATTTAAATTTCCTCATGTCTATCATGTTCCCTCTATTACTAAAAATCTTATCTCTGTTCGACAATTTTCTACTAATAATCAATGTTCCATTGAGTTTGATCCGCTTGGTTTTTCTGTGAAGGATCTGTGGACGAGGACCCCTCGTCTACGCTGCAATAGTATCGGGTCTCTATACTCTTTCCCGTCAGTCCTGCTGCGTCAGTCTCTTGCACCATCCTCTTTATCATGCCCGGCATTTGCTTCCTCTGTTTCTTTTCAAGTATGGCATCAACGTCTCGGTCATCCACACTCTTCGGTCCTCTCCAGTTTAGTTTCTAGTCAGCGTCTTCCTGGTTCTGTGGCCTTTTCGAATAAGCTTCCCTTATGTCAAGCATGTCAACTAGGAAAGCATCATAAACTTCCCTTTAGGCCTTCTTCTTCTGTAACTTTAAATGCTTTTGATATTATTCATACCGATGTTTAGACCTCACCTTGTCTCTCTTTTAGTGGTTTCAAATACTTTGTGTTATTTCTTGATGACTTCCCTTATTTCTTGTGGGTTTATCCTCTTAAAAGTAAATCTGAAGTTCCTCAAAAATTTGTTGAGTTCTATACCCTTATTCATACTCAATTCAATGTTTATATAAAAATCCTTCAATCCGACGGTACTGCTGAGTATGTTTGTTCTCAATTTCTCCAAAATTTCCTTAAGTCCAAAGGGGTTTCCATGCACATATCTTGTCCGTATACCCTCAACAAAATGGCAAAGCTGAATGTATGAACCAAACCATCATTAACATGGTTCGCACCCTTCTTCATCAAGCTCATTTACCAACTCAATTTTGGGTCAAAGCTTTAACTACGAGCATCTACCTCTTAAATAGGTTGCCCACTAAATCTAAACATGGTGTTGTTCCCTTTGCTCTTTTGTTTGGTCGCTC